ATGAGCTGCTAGAGAGTACCCTTCCACAAGGACGGTGCGGCAGATCAGGAGGATGGGAAAGGGGATTTGTTCTTATTCGAGCCTCGTGCAGAAAGTCTCCGCATCCCCGCCTTGTTTCCCCCTCGTCGATCACCCCAATTGCCCTCTCCATCTGCTACTCGAAGGAGTTGAGAGATAAAAGAAGGACATGTGGACATGTAAGCACAGTGGAAACTCAAATCCCAGCCGGAAACCGCAAAAAGGCTTTACAGTCCAACCTCTCTCTGGTTGTAAGACTGGACAGATGCGTGAGAAAAGTTGTCGTCAGATCGTAAATTGCTGACACCACAGCATTGAGCATCGAGTGGACCGTATCAGACTTGAACTATAAAGGCCCAACAAAGAAGACGTCTTAGGAGAACTTACAACCAGTACAGTGACGCTCCACCGACATGTCCCTCCCAAAGATTGACGAATGTCTTCCAAAGCACTGGAGCTTGTTCTATGGCGGGAAATGGCACGAGCCTCAAGATGGCGACCATCGAGAGATATTCAGTCCCGGTGACGGAAAAGTCATCAGGAAAGTCGCCTTCGCCGGTGAGAAAGACACGGCCGCTGCTATAGAGGCGGCACATGCAGCATTCCCGGCGTGGAGAGCAGTCCCTTCTTTGGAACGGGGCAAGAAGCTCAGGAAGGTGGCCGACATCTTGCGTACACATGCAGATGAGCTGGCCTTGCTCGATGCCTACAACACGGGCAATCCCGTCATCATGATGAGAGGCGATGCACTTTTCGCCGCCGACACGGTCGACATGTTTGCGGGCCTCATCCCAGCCGTTCAAGGCGAGACCACTCATCTAGATGATTCAACTTTCAACTACACCCTGCGGGAGCCGCTGGGGGTAGTAACGCGCATTGTTGCCTCCAACCATCCACTTATGTTCGCTGCCAACCGGCTTGCAGCCCCCATTGCTATGGGCAACACAGTGGTGATCAAGGCCCCAGAACAAGCGCCCCTCTCCGCACTCCGTTTGGCCGAGCTGCTGGAAGACGTCTTCCCCCCTGGAGTCCTCAATATCTTATCCGGTGGCCTCGAATGTGGAAAGACTCTCTCAACACACCGACTTGTTAGTAAGGTCACGCTTATCGGTAGTGTGCCTACAGGCAAGGCGATCCAGAAAGCTGCAGCAGATACATTGAAACTGACCTCGTTTGAGCTCGGGGGAAAGAATGCCCTGATTGCCTATCCTGACGCGGATCATAACCGTCTCGTGGACGCTATCATCGCAGGAATGAATTTCGGTTGGTGTGGGCAATCTTGTGGTTCGACCTCGAGGGTTTTCCTACACGATTCGCTTCACGACAAGATCTTGGAACGAATCCAAGATCAAATAGCGAAGAGGTTCCGACCCGGAAACCCTCTCGATCCAAAGACAACAATGGGGGCATTAGTCAGTGAGGCAGCACAGGCCCGTGTATTGAAATACGTCGAAATTGGCAAAAATGATGGCGCCCGTCTCCTATTAGGTGGCAGAATCCCCGACAGCACGGACACGCAAGGTGGCTACTTTGTTGAGCCCACCATTTTTGCCGGGGTCACTCAGAAAATGCGAATCGCCAACGAAGAGGTGTTTGGACCTATCGTGTCCATCTTGAAGTGGACCGACGAAGAAAAGCTCTTCGAGGATGTGAATGCTGTCGACTATGGTCTGACAGGTGCAGTCTTCACATCTGATATCAAGACTATGCAGACCGCGGTACGTCGCATTGAAGCTGGAACTGTCTGGGTAAATACTGTTGGGACACACTTCTTCAGCATGCCATTCGGAGGATACAAGCAATCTGGCATTGGACGAGATGACTGCTTTGAAGAATTGCGTGACATGACACAGTGCAAGGCTGTCCACGTCAAGCTATAGGTCCGCGGCTATGGCTGACACGGCTTAGGCACAGCTTGTTGAAGGACGATGTGGTGCACTCATTCGCTGTTGATGGTCGGGCACATTGACATGGTCAATGATCCCGAAGGTTTCGTTCTAGGCCACCGAAGGTAGTGATTGGGATATCATATCAAGTGCTTCTGACCCCGGTTCTGTTCGGCGTGAGATGACTGTACAACGTGACGCATCGTGTTCTGAAAGGAATGATTCCTGCTATTTCAGTCTTGCTGGTTGGATACTCCAACAGAGCAGCAAGAGTCTCGACACCAAAAGAGGCTAGTGCCGTGTGAGGTAGCTATTCTGGCGAGAAATCCAGTGTCTTTCCAGTCCCTCCGTGTCAGTAGCAGGAGGCTCATTCACAGTGTTCAACATATTGGACTTGTCTTCGGCCAGCTTGACATTGTGGCGAGGACGAGGGACTGGCCAGTCTCGCAGGGGGTGACAATGGCTTGGCCTGTGACACCACGAAACCAACTGGTTGTGTGACACTAACACCAGCGTCAAAAGCCAATGGCTCATACAACACCCGAGATGGATGACCTTTCCACGCGATCAGAAGAGCCCGATTTGGACGTACGTAGCATGGAGCAAAGTATGAGAACCGCAGTCGTTTGGATGTTCAAGAGCTGACTTTGTGGGCAGGCAGCACCTTCAAGGCTCGCATGGAGCAATTCAAATATTCCCCATTGAAACAGTCAGATACCGTCCGGCGATCCCCTCGACTGTCCAGTCCACGTCCATCCGTTCTCTTCAAGTCGAAGAATGCTTCTGCCTCTCCGTCTCCAAGAAAACGGTCCCGCGTGCGACAAGATGATGAGAACGAGGAAGACGATGGGAGTATTGTGAAACAGGAGGAAAATGATCTTGGGTTCAAGCCCTCGACGGGCGATGTGATACCTACGACGCCAAAATCGAAAAAGCGAAGGACCACGACCAAGGAGCGATCATTGAAAGATCCATACAACCCAGTCAACAACCTGGTGGACAGTCTAAGGCCTGGCCTGACCCTGGTCTGTATCGGTCTCAATCCCGGGCTCATGACAGCCGCAACCGGCCATGCGTATGCCCATCCCTCGAATCGGTTCTGGCACCTGCTTCACACATCGGGCATAACACCCAAGAAGCATCTCCCATCCGAGACACGAGACTTGATGGACCTGTACCAAATCGGAAATACGAATATATGTGCTCGGCCCACCAGGAGTGGCGATGGCTTGAGCAAGCAAGAGATGGAGGAGGGAGCTGCCATCCTCGATAAAAAGATCGCTATCTACAGACCGGAGGCTGTGGTGATAGTTGGCAAAGGTATTTGGGAAGCCATTTGGATGGCAAAGAAAGGCCAGAAGAAGTTTAACGATCCAAGTTTCCACTGGGGATGGCAAGATGAGGAGATGCAACTGGGACGGATCTGGGAAGATGGAAAGTTGCTATGGTCCGGGGCAAAGACATTTGTGGCCACCTCTACCAGTGGACTGGCAGCCACGCTGACGCCGGCAGAGAAGCTTGCCATCTGGAAGCCTCTGGGCGACTGGATGACGGCCAGGCGTGAGGATCCGAGGCAGCTTGGAGAATCATGATAACATTCCAGCCTTGTATCCATGCCAAGAGCATTTCCAGGAACCTCATCGCTACCTTCCTGGCTGGCATGGAACGAAGAAATGGAACCATTGAAGTAACAGTGCCCCCTTTTCACAACCCACAGGATATTTCATTGGCAATGGTACATTGTATCAACTGAGTGTGCTATTTTGGGTTGGGATTGTGCTTGAATCACAATGCGCATTGAAACGAAGCTCGCATCTAGCGTGAAAAGGGGGTTTATATAGACTTTGGTCTGGACTGGTAAAGAGGGAAAACTGCTCGGAGCTCACGTGCGACGCACCCGCGTGTACCGCTTTGATAACGACTCTCCTCCCTCTCCTTCACACTGACCGTGCACCCCAAAGCTGCTTCACCGTATATAGCGTCTACGAAGATCTAAAATTAGTCTTGCATTATCAGGACTTACGCTCCTGAACGAGGAGCACTTGTCTCGACAATTCCAAAGGGCGACTGCACTTCTAGAGCACGTCGTCGGGATCAACGAACAGACCCTGACCAAGGACAACCCTCACCGGCTGGAGACGCAATATCAGCTGGCGATGGCGTATCGAGCCAACGGGCGGTTCCACGAGGCAGCGACACTGATGGATCACGTCGTCCGGGGTCCGCGAGCAAAGCTTGACTGAAGACCACCCGGATCGACTTGCGTCCAAATTTCAGCTCTCTCTGTTCCAGTACAGCTTGAGATCCGCTCTCCTCTGCCTTTATACCTCGTACATGTCATGTGTCATATGTCATGCTCGGTTGAAGGCACAGTACCATGCAAACTCTGCCTTGTCTTTCACGGTCAGACATTCAGAGAAGTCGATGTTCCAGGCTGAACGTAAAAAAGAGCCAGACCGCTGGCTCAGTAGAACGCCATCTCGTTCGGCAACTCGAGGGTCGCTCTCTGCCTGTTCGTGTTGATATTTCGATGAATTAAGTTCTGCAAATATCTGCTTCAGGGTTTCACTTTTCTTGATCGCTCCTTTATCATTCTCTGCATTGTCGGATTTTTCTCTCCTCCGCCTCAGGCTCTTCTTCATCTTCTTCGCGTGTTGGCGAGAACATCTTGAAAAGGAGGTTGGGAACCCCCGAATAAACGTGGTAGAAGCATGAATGAGTCGATTTCATCAGGCTGAAGCGCAGCCGAGCGTCTTGGCCTAGGGAGAAGCCCCTCCAAAAGCGGCGGCACTGACCGGCCAGATTCGGCGGGAAATTTCACTTCGGCCTCACAAGCCAACCTGCCAACTTGTTATTGAGCTCGACCCCTCCTTAAGTGACATCAAATTCATCTTCAGCCCCGCATACTGTTTGCAACACTCTGTCTCCTATTCTAAGGCGCTTCTCTGCAAGGCTATCAAACCCTCTCAAACTTTGTCGTCGTTTCTCTTTCCTTCGAGGCATCATCGGTTGAGCCGTGAGCTTCAGTTCTTACCTGACGAATCGATTGACCTGAAACCAAACACAAAAACATCATCTCAACAGCTGCTGTCCAGCATGGCGCTATCCTCGACGCACATCATCCTTGTCTGTGTGGTCGGCATCATTTTGCTGGCAAGACCTGCTCACGCTTTTGGTGCGGGCAATATCGGATCAACTTCGAAAATTGAGGGGCAGAATTGGCGACATGGTGATCTCGAAGACACCTTGCTGACCATCGTGGCCTCGCGTGCCATGGGCGGCAAGAAGTTCGGCAAGCTTGATGTCAAGAGAGTGAGTTGTTGTCCCATAGAAATCGGGGGTATATTGACCGCCTCCAGGTGTACTTTGGTAATTGGTTGCGCGATTACAGCCAGGCGGTCGACGTAGGTACTGTCAAGTATGTCAGCGCCGAAGCGATCCGCATCGTCCTTTGGGTCCTGGGATTCATGTCCTTCGGATATGGCTCAGGCGAGTTCGAAGTCACCAGCCAGAGACTCGGGTGCTATCGACCTGAGGAACATATCGAGTGAGATACATGATTTCTTTGCCAAGACATTTACTAACTAGTCTTAGCAACCCCAAGGACTATGCGGACAACCAGGATGCCAGGCAGTATGATCGCCGACTCCGCGGCCCTGTTGATGAACGCCGAGAGCTCTCCATAAACCCACAAACTGGCTTGAAGAACTACATTGCTTCCGAGGGCATGGGCATTGACACGTCTGCTGGTCTGGTCAGAAAACTTTTCGGGAGGAGCATTGAGCTGGGTCGACAATACGCACGCAACAAGAACAAGAATGACCTCTACGAAGCGCTCCGGCTGCTCGGAACGGGATGCCACTGCCTGGAAGACTATGCTGCTCACTCAAATTACGTTGAACTTGCTCTCATCGAGATGGGTGAACGTGATGTCTTTCCTCATGTCGGCCGCCGCACCGCCGTTCAGCTTCGAGAAGTACGTCACCCGGTATATCCAATCGTCACCGGCACATTCGGCGGCGTCGATTTCCTCCACTCCGTCTGCGGTGAATTCGACGACAAGACCACCCAGTCTGAAATCCAGGAATTGGACGATACCTTGCAACAGTACCAAAGTGGGAACCAAGACAATAGCATTCTGCAAGATCTCCTCAATAAGCTGCCTTCCGGAGTATTCGGTGGAAAGGACCAAGCGGGCAAAGCCAATGAACTGAAACAAAATGCTCTGAACCAACAAATGCAAAACTCCAGAATTACTCCACGTCAACCAGAACAATGGGCTCGTTACCTCGCAGACGTGCAGAAGCAAATTTACCCAATTATCGAATGGCACGATGATATCATGAAGTCCATCACCGAAACGATTGAGAAGATCCCAATCCTGCCTGACTTGATCGATCAAATTCAGGAGGAAATCAATAAATTTGTGTTCAGCCTGCTGGCTCCTTTCGTCGTACCCATCATCAACCAAGTCAAGAACGAACTCAACACGGGCTCCAACGAGATCATCCAGTCCAGTGTCGCTCAGCAGCACATTGTCTTTAACGACGACAATTCCTCGGACCCGACCCACTCTATGCTTTCAAAGGATCACTTCTCCAACATTCTCAACGAACCCGCGGGGAAGGTAGCTCATCAAACCGTGAAGTGGGTGGTCCCACAGATCGTTGCGTGCTGGGACGATGAACGAATCGACATCGAACGAACCCTGAATCGCATCATATCCGGCGTTCTACACCACCCCGCCTTGCGGGACTACGGGCAGGATGGCGCTAGTGACGGCCGTCGACTCATGTTTGGCGTTGTTGAGGAATGGTGGCGCGGGAAGTCTTCCTCTGAAAAGGATGGGCTACGCGAACAACTCAATCGTCGTGGCGTCGAGACGGGTCGAAACCATAAGCCCGGGGTTAAGGACCACGGACATGGAAACAATCGGCCTCTTGGCATGGCAAATCTCAACTTCAACTCAAATCAATCCGGCGTTGCAGGCGGTGCTCTTGGGGCCATTAGTTCTGCCTTGGGTGGAGGTGGGGGTCAGAGCGGCGGCCGACCACCCAATGTCTCTAGACAAAGCGACCAGCTCGGAAAAATGGCAGGCGCAGCAGTCGGCGGTGGCGTCCTAGGTTCCCTGGTTGGCGGTCTTACGAGTCAAATCAGTGGACAGATCGGTGGCGATATCCTCGGCGGCGGACTCAGCCAGGGTCAAGAGACGTATAAGCGCGATTCCTACAGCCGTCAGGATGGGTCCCACACAGAGACTGTGACGCAGTTTGGTCAGTCATCCTCAGGCGATAGGTATGGCCAAGCCCAATACTCGAGAACCACTGAGCCTAGCGGCCAGAGACGTCATGAGGAGTATAATCGTTTTGAGCAGCGCGAGACCGCGAGCGGCGGATGGCAGAGCGAGGTGCACCATCAGGAGCGGACAAGCGAGGGTAGGTATCACGAGGAGACAAGGTATGTACAAGCCACGGCTTCAGCAAAGGCGACACGAGAGGACAATGGTTCGGAGCTAACATGCTATCTGACAGACGCTATGGCGACAAGCGCGACAAGGATGACGACAGTGACAGCTCCAAAGATGAACGTCGTGACAAGCATCGTCGTGAAAAACACCACGGACATAAAAGTGATGACAGTGATGACGATCGCCGCAAACAACGTCGTGATCGAGACGACAAGCCTTACTCTACGGATGCTTACGGCAGCAGCGGCAGCGGCAGACGCCAACAGTACGAGACAGAGAGCTCCGGTTACGGAGGTGGTCGCAGCTCTGAAGGCTATGGACGCCACGAAGAGCGCCAATATGGCGGGCGCAACGATGACAATAACCAGTATGGCTCCGGCTACGGCCGCCAGGAGCAGCGCCGCGACGAGTACTCCTCCGGAGGGGGTGGAGGTGGATATGGTGGTCGGCACCAAGAAGAATCGACGACGTATGGTGGTTCCAGCGGTTATGGTCGTAGGGAGGAAGAATCACGATACGAGTCTAGCGGCTACGGAGGGGGGCGTCGCCAGGAAGAGTCGACCTATGGTTCCGGCTATGGTGGAGGCGGCGGCGGTGGCGGATACGCTCGTCGTCAACAAGAACAGCAGCAGTCCTCCTACGGAGACATGCCTGGCGGCTTTGGCGATAGCCGACAAGACCAGTATTCATCCTCGAGCCGTCGCGACGATGGGTACGGCGGGGGTGGCGGCAGCGGATACGGAGGCGGTGGTGGTGGCGGCGGCTTCGGACGACGAGATGAATACGGCCAGAGCGAAGGCTACGGCGGCCACGAAGGTCGACGTCGACATGGTGGTGATGATTATGATGATGACGATAACAGACGCCAGAACCAGGGATATGGAGGTGGTGGTGGCTATGGCGGCGGGTATGGGAGCTCGCGATATTGAGCACCAAGATCCAACACCCGTCCATTTATCACCGTGGCCCCATACACGGCCGGCAGGTTACCCAAGCCAAGCTGTCTCGGCTGACTCGGTCGCAAATCGACACCACCGACCGGGTGATCTGATCTAGCTTCTATGACTGAAACGAGACGAGACGAGACTACTGTATGGACGGGTTCAAGGATGGACATCCCCCTCCGGACCTCCGGAATGGGAGCTCCATTAGTAACTGTTACGCTGAAAGGAACGAGAAAAACACTGATATGACCAGAACGGTTAAAAAAAAAAACAACCACCATACAAGATTAACTACTTTCGAACCAAGTACGAGGTACCGAGAACTCAAGTAGCAGTTATACCCAACCCCCCCTCCCAATAAGACAAATAGAGACGCCAGTGGTGCTAGCGATGCTGGCGATGTTCCATCCATCCATCTCATCTTCCCATATCTACACAGGGTACCTACACTAGCAGACTAGACACCTAGGTAATACGTACCTTGCAGTAAGTACCGAGAGCACACCCTCGTAGTTTCGCACGAGAGTTTGTTGCGAAAAAGCAAAGAGCGCTAAGTAATTCCCTCACAGGGACGGGGACAGGGACATAGTATCAGGGTGGCAGGAGTGCCTCGTACTCGTGAGGGTGCCTGTGATATATGTGTGTGTGTGTGTGTGTGTGTGTGTGTATTTCGAGGCCGTAAAATATGTATAAATCTCTACAATAATCTCGTCGCTAGCATAATTACTTGATAAGGGTGTAATTACGATGGGGCCAGGGACAGGGCCAGGGGCAGGGTAACCTCTATAAACATCCTTGTCCCAATGCACTAATAACAGAACGTCGTCTCCTGCCCACTGCGTCAATGTATATGTATCTAATCATGCATAGTGGGTACAACTCCTAGCATGCGCCGTGTTCCCTTGAGTGCGAATGGCGTTATAGTCTGCGCCGCAGACATAGCAGAATTCAAACGCACAGCCAACTAAGAAAACAAAAGTCAGCGAAGGGGACGGGGCGGAAGCCGAGAAAAAAAGAAGGGGGGGGGGGAACTCACGGCCTCTCGCGCTCGAGTGCGCATCTCTGCCACAAACAATGTGGTCACACCCTTCAATCCTTTCAAACGGCAGTCTGCACTTGGGGCATTTCTTTCCCTGGGCCAGCAGGGCTGCTGTGGCCGCCTCCTCGTCCCTGCGTCTCTCGATGCCTCGAGCCTCTTCACCCTGAGGGCAGGGCTCGTCTCGATGCATGTCGTACAGCTGATTGCACTGTATACAAGTAAATTCACCGCAGACATCGCAGGCGAAGATGGTTGTGTTCTTGTCTTCGTCCCCGAGCCATGTTGCTCCGATACACTTCGGTTTCGCACATTTGGCCATATTTTCCCCGTCGTTCAGCAGCATTTGAGCCAGAGCTGCATCGTAGATGGTGAACCGTTCAGACTGGGCAAGGGATTGGATAACCGAGTGGTCGAGGCTTTTTGAGCAGTTGGTAGCCCAGCACTTTACCTTCGCAGAGGGAAACTTGTCGCCTCCCTGTGGAAACATTTGCGATTCTAGATGTCCTCGCAAGCAGTCGGTACAGATGATGTCGTTCTCCCATCCATGTTTCTCTTCGCATGGTGGAGACAAGGCTGCGTGAATCTCATTTGCGTCAGGAGCTTTGTCGCCACAAACAGCACAATCCTTTTCTCTCCAAGCACGACGGCGTGCCCTCACTTCGGGAATCTCGAGGTGTTCTGGTACGTTAAAGGCGTCTTCGGGTTGATCTCCCTCAACGGCATAAAAAGTCCGCTCGAATCCTGATGTTTCCAAAACTATGGACAATTCCACCCGCTCGAGATCAGATAACTCGATATCCTCTCCTCTTTCGACAAAGCTGAGAAGAGAAAACATGAAGCGGTCTTGACGTATGAGGGGCAGCTCAACCAGTCCCGGAGGCAGATAGCACAGCAGTGCGCTGAACATTTTATATGGCCAAGGTCCCATTAGAGCTAGAGACATGAGATTAGGCTCCGTTGCCCAGAAGCTGGTCGGCACCTCGGCTTCGCACAGCAGCACCGCGAGCGTCGTTTCGAAATGTTCATGTGCTGCTCCGGAGTGACTGAATCGCAAGAAAGCTTCGAGCGGCGTAGCTCCAAAGTAGTGATCAGAGCAGTAGCCTGGTTCGTGACCTGCCTCGAGAAGCAGCTGCATTGCTTCATGGTGCTGCCAGCAAGTCGAGACGTGTAGACTTCCATCGTCCTCCTCAGCGCCATTCCCGATCAAATCCCTCATTGTATCGAGAGATTTCTCGCGTGTGGCTAGGAATAGTGCAGATCGTCCCTCTTCATCTCTTGTATTCGGGTCGGCACCAGCATCCAAGAGCGTACTGGCAAGGCTGAATTTCTTGTTCTGTAGCGACAATAAGAGTAGCCTGTCTAGTGAGCTCTGTTCTAAAGCGAGGTTGGAGGCACCTGCAGTCGCGTCTACTAGAGCAGGAGCGTCAATTTGCATCGCCCTGAGTAGGAATTCGATCCGATCATCCATTTCTTTGACCTCTGAATTCGCTATGGCAGCAGCAAACAACTGCTCCACATCATCACGATTGGGACCTGAACAACTTTGTGTCGAGAACACGTGAAGACCCCCCAGCATGAAGAAAAAAGTGAACATCAAGCTAGTCCCCGTGGTCCTGACCTTGGGATTCAATATGGAACCCATCAAGTTGACAACATCGGAGGCTTCTAGGTCGAAGGATTGCGCGGTTGACGCGGGGAAGTTGATATTATAGAGACAAGCCTGGTCTGATAGATTTGGCCCTTGGCCAGTCCCTCTTGTGACAATAGAAGAGCCCAGTCCTTGATTTCGGAAGAGGTGGTGAAGGGCCAGTAAACGAGTTCGGATGTGTGGACGACTGTGGTGAACCAGGGAGGTCACCTGTGGGTGATCGATGCGGCAGACCTGATAGAGTGACAACCCGGCTCCATCAATAAAGCGAGCCCCTTTCTCCAGTAATAGTTGAATGATCTCACTAGAGTTGACTTTGTCATGGCAGACCCGAGCGATGGCATCCAGCGCCATATCGCGTGCGCCCCGGGGTATTTCTGTTTCAAGAAGAGCTCCGAGGACGAGCAGCATATTAGCAGCTTCCTCAGGACGATTCTGTTCTTGTTGTAGATATTCGCCCCATGCCTCTGTGAACAGCTTTGTTCTGGCAGATTGCCGACGGCAGTGGCCTACGAGGTCCGGGAAGAGCTGCACATTGCCTTCTCTCCAAAGTCGTATCATGCCTCCACCGTCTCTATACTCAATAGACGCTCCGCAATCGAGCAAGACTTTGACATGATCTAGATTGGCTGATTGAATTGCCAACAATGAGAAAAGAGCCTCATCGTACGGCTCCTTCTCTTGGAATCCTGCTTCGTGGAGTTGTTTGAACATGGCGCAAATGGTGTCCAGGTCGCCTTGGTACGCAGCAAGACGACCTTGAAGTATCTGGCAGACTGCGTGAAAGGCAGGCAGTGTCGTAACGTACCGCAGAAGTACAGCCAACATACCAGGATGATCAGATCGCGCCGCAAATCTCAGGCACTCGCAGTCGTATGCTTCGATTGATCCACCAAGTTGTACCAAACTTTGCACCCAGGTTCCACGGTTATGCACCACGACTTGAACCAGTGCAAAATTGACAACTCCATGGAAGTCAGGACGTGTCTCCGAGGATATGATCATCTCGACAAGAGCGGTGTAGCTTCCCTTGGCCACTGCAACCTGAACCAGTGATTGTCCCTGGTATACCAATGGAGCGCCAGCTCTGCAAAGGTGCCGACAAAGGATTGCTCGGTCTAGACAAACCGCGATCGTAAGAGCGTGGGCGAGTGCTGAGAAGTATTGGATGTCAGGACCAAGGTCTGGCGCCGAGGCAGCTGTCCGGCGTTCGTTGTAGTCAAACTCTTCGCGATACTGTAGCGACCGATTTGCCTGCCATTGCGTCAGGATGAGCACGACGAGAGGCTCATTATTCCTTTCCACGGCTTCTATGAGGGTGTCACCAATTGAAACACCGTCAGCACCGGCTTTGAGCAATACGTCCACGAAGGCGAGAAAGTCATCTTTTTGATCATAATGAGTGACACGCTTCCAGAGTACTTCAAGATCATCTTTGGAGAAGGATGTTGCTCCGATCAAAGTAGAAACATAGCTGAGGTCCGACTTATCAATTGCTTGCTGTACAGGCAGCAGTACATCCCTGAGGCGCAGTTTGCAGCGAGATTTGGAGCACACGAGGATGGCCATTTCTCGGTCTTGCGCAAAGCACGCATGATTGAAAGTTTGCTGCACCGGCCCAGAGTAAAAGTCATCGTCCATGTATGTCATTGCTTTGGAATCAAGAAGGACTTGGATCGCGCGAGGTGCGAGCAGGGATGTGTCGACCAGAAAGAAGCGGGCAACCATCTCCAGCGGTAGTTGCCGATCAAGAAGCAGCCCAAGAACGAGCCATTGTTGAGACACAATGGCCATGTACAAACAGGAGCTGAATTCTGGCAGGGTGGTTTCGATAGGTTGAGATAGAAGAAATTCTAGGGTAAGAAGCGGCCAGACATCACCTTCGGTGATTGCTTGTGTACAGTGTTCCAGGTGCCTCTGGAGGAGTCTCGTTACAAGGTGACTCTCACAACCACCGTGGAAATACTGGCGAAAGAGGATCTTGAGGTTTTCCGCACTTCTTGTGTCTGAGAACTCAAGAACGTCCTGACGAAGTGGAGGTATTTGGACAGACAGGAACAAATTCGCCGGTTTTGCTTGAGGATCCAGGTTGAGGTTCGGGACATAGGAGGTGGAATTTAAGGGCGCCTCATTGATCAGTGGTTTGGATCTTATGATCAGGTGCAGTCTATCGGTATCGCAGAAGCAAGCTGCCGTCAACACAATCTCAGTCAGTGTGGTCCTGTTCATATGTTGTGTCCAATTTAGCCATGCTGAGAGTAGATCGAGATCCGCAGCATCGTGTTCCAGGAATTGATGGAAGCATTCGAGTTGCCGGTCACCTTCATGAGCATCACAAAGTGATTCAACGGTCTGCAGTTTCCTGAAGAGCATCTTGAGGCATGAGCCGGCCGCCTTCGAGTATTCATCTCCTTGCTGGACATGAAAGAGTAGCATGCGGTGCCAACTTTTGAACCATTCCGTAACAGACTCGTGGAGTTTGGTTTTGGAGAGGGCTATTTTGTCGAAGATTGCCGCGTCTTTGTGTTCGAAGGCGACTGTTAGGGAAACAGCATTGCAGCAAGCTCCTGATCCAATCAATATATCGACTAACTCAGGATCTCTATGATATGAATAATTGCAAAGTTCTATATTGAGAGCATAGTCGACACAACCGCCGGAAAGCCCCTGATTGATAAAAAGCTTCGTCAGCAGTCGTCGCGGCAAGACTTCAAGCTGGGCGATGCTTGGAAAGGCAGCTTGTAAGCTCGAGAGAGAGACAGGACGAGATAGAAGCGTTTGTACAGCTCGAACGTGTCCCAGTGAAACGGCTTCGAGAAGGGCCGCGCCGTTGTGGTAGTCCACTGAAGCATTTGCGTTGATAAGTGTCTCAATCCACTGAAATTCCCCGCGTGAGACCGCTGCGATGAGTTCCTCATTTTTCCAGACTCCTCTAGCACCTCCAGTAAGCAGACGCTTGAGGATCTTTCGACCCATCGCTCTTTGTAATGCGCCTTGTAGTTCCGAGGTACGGGCTGCCACCCGCTCCTCCTCTTGTATAGGACCAGCCAAGAGGATATCGAGCATCTTTTCGTCATGGTTCTGACATGCGAGCAGTAGAGGCTCCACAGAGACAGGGACACCGTAGGCTACCAGCAGCCGAAGTATATCTTCATGCCGTTCTTGTACACAGCGGCAGTAAAATGATTCAATCTCTGGACTTGATTGAGAGCCGGGCGACATATCACTCAGGCAGAGCAGGGCCTCTACCATATCTTTAGCCTGCAGGGGATCGATCGCTGAAGAGTCCAACACATGCAAAAACAGACCAGCATCCTTCAAAGGCCATGCAGAGGTGGACGCGGCAATGCTCAAAAAGATGCTCTTATCAGAGCAGGAGATCGCTGCATCCAGAAGGCTGTCCCGGTCTCGAGGAGGATCCGAGTCGCGGAACGTGGGATAGTCTGTGATGCTGCGAAGAACGATCTTGAGAGCGTTTGAGAGTCCTCTTTGAACAACAGTCGTACATAGATCTCCGAAAGTCTCGTATCGAAGCTGCTTCGGAGCGCGAAGGATGACGTGAAGAAGTTGGCAGTTGGTCTCAGCTAGTCGGAGTATAGAACTGTGACTTATACAGTTTGGGTCCGCGCCGTACTCCAATAGAGCAGTAACAAGATGTAGATTTTGGCTGAGCACAGCATATTCGAGGACGGCACTGACAGCCTCGATGGCAGTGAAAGGCGCAAGTAGGCGGACAAGGTTGATGTTTGCGTTCTTTGCAGCGGTGCCAAGCAGAACATCTGGAACCTGTAGCTGTAGATTTGACTGTACAGCATCGAGGAACAGTCTGTCAATGTAGATTTGAGCAACTTCGGCCGAGCCATTGGCCTGAACGTGGTTATATAGCACGGTCAAAGTCACGGCCTTGTCCGGCCGCCCTAACCTTGATCTTACCCTGCGAAGAAGATGTTGAGATCCCCGGACAGCGGATGCCTCCTTTTTCAAAACCGATTCAGCGAATGCTTTATCATGTTGACTGATGGTTTCGACTCGAAAACGTGGCTGGAGGCTGATTCGTTGAGCAGCCGGCTCCTCAACGTAAAGCCCACTGGACAGTTGGCGAATTCGTGCAGACTTATGTGCCAGCATCGGGCGACCAAGACGAACTCATCAGGATAACTCAGAGACAGGAAGTTGGGGAGTAGACAATCAAAGACCGACATCAATTTGAGCATCAGGCTGGGATAATAGAGATTTTGACCTGACAACTGCGAGGGGGCATCTGGGAATACGGTAAACAGGGCCATGAGGGTCTCGAGGCGTCCTTCGGCAAGCCTGCAGACGGTTGGAATGGCGGACGCATTGAGACAGAGGCTTGAGGAACCCAATCAAGTATTTCTTAGGCAGAGATCGGGCGCAAGAAGCAAGGCGTTTACCTTGGGACTCTCAGTCCCAGTCGTGCAGTGAGGCGTTGGCTAGTACTAGTTCGTTGACCGTCACCAATCGCCTTCATCCTTGGGTTGGCAATGCTAGGGATTCACATTGAATCAGAAACCTTCACGTGGCCGGCCCCATGCGCTAGGAGTTGGAGTCGCTTGCGACATCAAGACGCAGGCAGACCTGGCCATTCGAAAGGGGGTGAGGCTGAGCTCTGGCAACATCTTCAGCAGGCTTCCTTTCGCTGAGAATGTATAGTATGCCAGAATCTGTCCGGACCACTTTCCGTCAGTGACCTTTGACTTTTCAGCACCGAACACATGGTGTGCTAAATCAGTCATGATCTTCACTAGTAGCCGAACTCGGTAGGTTGTGTTGCGGAATTGGGACCGTGTTTGCCTTTGTCAGCCTCTAAACGGTCTGCAAGGAAGACCTATAAGGGATCCATTCGATTTCGAGATTTTTGGGATTGACAGAGTCGAACTGCGATACCAATGGCAATCAGGAGGCAACAGACATCCAACATCACGGTATTCAGGCGGACAGATCCCGCGGCCGTCACCTACGACCTCTCAAGCGCTGATTGTGTGACAATCACTGTGCCTGTTGGTTCTACTTGGACTTCTGGTCCACACTGGCACGAGACTCACACCGAATTTCTCCAGATTCTGCAAGGACGCGCCTTTATCAAACTCGGGGGTCGATCTGGGGTCTATAGAGCGGAGGACGGTGCGATCGAAGTACCGAGATATACAGTCCATGAATGGCACCGGGTTGCAGGTGACGACGATGGAGGAGACCTAGTGGTCCGAGAATGGACCATGCCTAGAGACGGTCAAAAGGAGATCTTTTTCCGGATGCTCAACTCGTTCTTGACAGAAGCTCATCCCAGCTCCTTATACACACCGCCCGCCATGATCCCTCGCTGGGTCACGAAGTGGGTTGAGCACTGGATCGTGGCATTGCAGTTGTTTTGCATCTTTGACTCGTGGGACAACTGGCCGGTATTGATTGGAAATGACAATGGATGGGTTAGTTGGGCGGTCACACATTTGGTGTTGAGAGTGGCATCGGCGACTGCATTTGTGCTTGGACTCCGAGGGACATATAGTGCATATGTCAATGACGAGCTGCTGCAGAGAGCCTCGCAAGATAACGGCCCAAAGAAGACAAGATGAGGGGTTGATGCAGGGAGATAATGTGGCGTCTGCGATGTAATTAAGGTGTGCCTGCGGAAGTTTTGTTTGGGCACAGTTGGGGATGGACATCCATGGTTGCACGTGTTAGCTGCAATTTGAGTGTGGTGATTTCCAGGCAAGGTCGCTCTGGGTCGCCGTGGTCGCCCCAAATCGCCCTCGGTCTGGGCATGTTCTAGGTTCCGACCAGCCCTACCACATTTATTTTAGGGCCTATTGTCACGTCGTTGGGGCCTTGCATCCTTGATCCCAGATACGTTCCAGCCTATAACAGCGCCGCAACACTCCCCCGTTCCAGTTGCTTCGACCCACCTTTGCGTTCCCCCCAGCCTTACCGCTTGTCCCGGTGCTGCCGGCTCACGGGGGCCTCGAGGAATAATTGACTTTCACTCCCTGACGCCTCCATACGATGCGACCTGGATGGCGTTGCTTTGGAGCGCAGGCGCAATCATGATGTCTCATTCCTTCTTCTCACCATATTCTCGGCGTCAGCCCATTCTCTTCCTCTTCTTGCTGCTGGCCTCCACGCAGCTTTTTAGATGAAACACATTGTTGCAATGCTTGGTTGAACGGCCAGTTCTCTCCTCTTCTTTGCCTTCTAGGCGTCTAAGCCTCGCTTGAGCAGCCACACATCAATCAGCCGAAGAATTTTGAACCATCATTTGCGCACTTCCCATTTCATACAGTTCCAACGTTCTCTTCTGAATGCCTCGAGACTTGCTCTGCCGCTTCTCATAAGGAGGATGCAACGCAACTACCAGCGAATGCGAGAGACCCTTTTCGATCTTTACACGGAACGTGATGCACTGCCATGGTACTTTCGAACCATTGCCATCGCTGCCTCTTGGCTCGCTCTAGGCGGATACATTGTATTCTCACTCGTCTTTACGTCTGCCGAAGATAACATTAAAGTGTCACGCGCCTTTCTGACAGCTCTCGCCTCGGTGCTCCTCCTCATCGGCTACAGTGCCGTCGCGGCCATCGCATATTTCAGTCGCAGCCTACTCTTTCTTTTCGACGCCGTTTTACTCCCGATATTGACCTCTTCTTTTATGGGTGTCTTTGTCACGGTCATGAACCATGCTCTCCACAAACATTTCCCTATTCCGACCCAGGTGTACATCTACGTGCCGCTGATCATTGCGTGTGCTACAACGATTGGGGCTGGAATCCTCAGTTATATTACATACAGAAGGATAAGCAAAATCAAAGAGTTGGACAAGCAGAGGAGGCAACATGTTCCAAGATGGGATAGAAGTTCCTACGTCAGCTACGGTGACGCTGCCTCCACGGCAGAATTAATACCTATGACACACTGGACCGCGAATAACATACCTGAAGATGAGGCACAACGTCGGCAGCTCCTACGCCTGTTACTCACTCGAGATCCGGCAGAGTCGCCCAACCCCCGACATTCTCAGAGCACTTACCACATCACCTTGCCCGGCGAAGATGCGGCAGCTGATGGCATGGAAGTGGTCCAGCCTGGCACTCGACCCCGTAGCGGCAGTCTCCCCACCACCACCAGCAAGTGGCAGGTATTGAACAAGCTGTCTAGGGAGCGAAGCCCGACTGCTGAGAGCAGCACCTCGAGGGATGTCCGAGAGCGGCGACGAGAAGAGATTGAGAGATCTTCAATCCTGCTGACGCCGGGAACCGATCTGGGGACATGGCCGCACACTCCAGGGTCCTCGCAGTCTCAAACATTTTCTTATTCTCCGAATCCGGTCTGGAATGGTTCGACGAGGTACGCATAGCATAGGTTATGATTGAACTGTGCCAAAAGAAATCTGGACTTTAGCGAGGCGTTTCGGACTGATGGAAGGATCCATTGGTTTACATGGGATTTCTGACAGGATTTGATATGTAAATGTACGAGGCTACAGGGTACTGGCCGGAATATTTTGCAGCTCTTGGGTCAATCCGGTGGATTTTACATGGATTGTTTATTTGAACTAGGTACCAAGGTAGTTTGGTGCAGATCTCATGTCCTGATGTTCGTCTTGGTGCTAAAATCGCATTCACGGAATCTGCTAGCGATGAGCCTCGGCTGTTTGGCGACTTGAACCAATGATTCCCATCGCCGAACCAACGCCCTTGATGTCTCACGGCCATCATATGCAAATTGGCTCAACATTGGACGATTTGTCGACTTCGGCTATTCAGGCTTGTCTTGTCCTCTGACGAAGGCAATATTACAATTCCCAGCAAAAGCCTTGGGGCCAAATTTAATTAATGGGAGCAATCGTCCACCGTCTGCCCACTCGACCCTATCACATTTCTCCCTCACATCCCCGTTGAGTTGCGGCATAGACAGAGAGGCTCATTTGATTGTGTTCCTCTCACGAACATTTCCTCGACAGTACACCTCCTCCTCTGCTGCAACAATGTCCAAGCACGCAACGCTCATCAAACCTCCGAAATCCCTCCCCCATCACTCCCCCATCGAGAATGTCCTGTCCCTCCTGCCGCTCATCGACATCGGTCCTGACATCTACACCAACGCTCGCCCGCTCTGGCACCCTCCCGGCGCAAGAGGCATCTATGGTGGCGCGGCCATCGCCCAGTGTCTGTCCGCCGCCCAGGCCACGATCCCACCCGATTTCACCGTCCATAGCATGCACTGCTACTTTGTGCTTGCCGGCAACAGCGAGATCCCCATCTTGTACCACGTGGAACGAGTCCGGGACGGGAAGAGCTTCATCACACGGACGGTGCAAGCGCGACAGAGGGGCAAATGTATTTTCACGACGACACTGAGTTTCATGAAGGCGGGTTCCGGCGGGAAAGAGACGGTCCAACACGCCCTCCAAATGCCCAAGGACGTCACCCCGCCGCCAAACGCAGACACGGACCGCCAGAACGTGAGGTCTAGCGACCGACCCTTCGAGGCAGTCCGCGTGCCCATCACGAACCGAAATGGCCCGCCTTCGGAGCGCAAGTTGCGACATTGGATCCGCGCCCGCGGCCGCATCTCCGACTGTCCGCCAAACATCCGTGAGGAGGAACTGCAGTCCGGCCAGAGAGCGAACCTACCGGGCGACAACCACCAAGCGCACCTGAGCGCGCTGGCGTATATGAGCGATTCGTACTTTATCGGCACGGTTTCGCGGGTTCACGGCCTCCAGCGCTTCGGCAGCCCCGGCAACATCGAACGCAGTCTCTCCAACTTCAGGGGTTCGGAAGAAGAGAAGAAACAAATGCGAAAGTACCTCGAAGACATTGCCAAGGACGAGACGACGGAACACAAAGAAATGGCGCTGAACAACGAGGACACACGCAGCATCGGGATGATGGTCAGCTTGGACCACACGATATTTTTCCACAACCCGAGGGCGTTCCGCGCGGACGAGTGGATGTTGACCGAGATGGATAGTCCATGGGCCGGCGACGGGAGAGGGTTGGTCATGCAGAGGATCTGGAGTAAAGACGGAGTTTTGATTGCAACGTGTACGCAAGAGGGCGTTGTCAGGCTGAAGCAGAAGCCGACGGCTAGTAAGATATAGGATTTTACATGTTGTTCGGAGTGAGGCACCGGCTTTGGCTTTTGTGGTTGGATTGGGTTGAGGATTGCCTACAGGATTTTGCGCGGATCGGTGGATCGGTGGACGGAATGACCTTGTCTTTGTGTGGTTTGCTCCTCCCTGTAACATTCTCCGCCGGCACGGTATTGG